ACCAAAACTCCCCCCCCCAGGGAGGATGGCCATGCCACAATCCCTTCTCCTCCATTCTCCTCTCAGGATCTTGGGCACGCACTGCACATGCACCCAGCATGAATTTAAGCTACGGGGTCTGGGACTTGAACCTGTGGTCGACTACATGGGAGTCCAGCAACATAGCCATTATGCCATCTACTGGTCCCAAAAACCTCCAATAATTATCAGGTAAAAATAGCTTATTTAAGGGACCAGCAGTTGGCGTGCATAATGGCTATGTCGCTGAACTCCCATGTAGTTGACTGCAGTTTGAGTCCCGGACCCAGTGACTTAAACTCAATGTCTAAAGCCGGGCGCGTGTGCGTGCGTGCCCAAGATCCTGAGAGGAGAACGGAAGAGAAGGGATTACAGCGTGGCCATCCCCCCTGGGGGGTGAGTTCTCGCTTTCTGTCTCTCTGTCTCTGTCTGTCTTTCTGGTGAGCGCACATGCCCTATAGCAAAATCCTCTCCAAAATAAATACTCATTGATTATTTTTTAAAAAAAAATGATTGGAGGTTTTTAAATGTAATTCCTCATTTTTTTCCTTTGCCGTGTAACTTTGTGTTTTTATTTTTCCTGGCGGTTTTGAAGTTTTGAACTTCTACGCAGTCTGTTCAGTGCTCTTTTCTTTATGATGTGTTGCTGGGCTGACATGCTGTAAGAGCCTCTCACTATTTTAAAAGTACGGAAATTTAAATAAAATCAGAAATGACAACATTTTTCTCTACTTTGACAATTGTATTCTTAGAATTAACTCTTTAGTTCATCTGGAATCCGTTTTGATGTCAGTTGTGAGGCAGGGCTCCAGCTCATTCCCTCCTTCCCCCATAGGGTAGCTATAGTAATTATTAAATAATTTATCCCTCCTCTCCCCACTTTGAAGCGATGTTTGTGTTGTGCTCTAAATTCTATTGTATACTAGAGTCTTTCTGAGCATCGTTCTGTCCCATTGATCTTTCTGTTCTTCATCTTTTAAGTTACTGAGTCCTTGTTTTTTCCTCATCAGATCTGCTTCTCTTGTTTTTCCCTTGTGAGTAAACGGCAGCTCCTTCTCAGACCTATCTTGTAGTGTGGAAGGCACCTTTAATTTTCTATGTTTTTCTGTGCAAAAAAGCCTCATGACCACCCAGTATTGTAGTTAGGATGGAAACTACCTACAGAGTTGACCATTCTCTTATATATAAGGAATGCTATGTTGCTTAAAAGCTTTGTCACTGAAAAATTTAGCCAGTTTTCAGAGGGAAATTCGAACTTGCTGCAGACCACCAGTGTTGTGTGTGTGTGTGTGTGTGTGCAGTGTGGGGTGTTTAAATAACATTAATAAAATCAGAAGCTTCTGAGAGAGCAAGTCCTTGGTGTAGAAAAGTCAGCCTCCTGATAATAGCACTTTCTCAGTAGATAGATTAATTACAGCAGAGTGCACTACAATTCGGAAACGAAGTATGCAGTGAATAATGTCCTCAAAGACCAGGTAGGCTTCGTTCCAGGCTTCTGGGAAGGAGGAATGTAAACGGCTAATGGGTCTTGCCTTCCTCCAGCCAGTGACTGTTTATTTCCTGCCAGTGCTGAGTGCTCTCAGGCTCAGGAAGTGATAAACTGGCCTGCTTCTGTACATGCTATACAATTGCATATACTTATACTGCCCTGGGAATTTGGTGCTTGTTTCCGACTTGATTTCGAATGTTAGGATTTTGTCTTTGTTTGGCTTCTTTGGCTTGCAAGTTTAAAAAAGAAAGCAAGGCATCCAGCCAAAAATCTTCTTAAGATATCGTCTAAGGAAGAGCCTTTTTCCAGGAGAGTTTATTTTCTCTGTGGGTAGAGTGTTTTTTCATGTGGTCAGGCATTTTTCTAAGGAAAGAAGCAATAGTTCATCTTTGACTTTCAGGGTGATGGCGTGAAAACTAAATTTTTGAGTGGAATCCTAAAACATGTTAGTAAACATGTTTTAATTTTGTATTAGTATCATTTGAGGAGATTTAGTTTGAAGATTTATTTTTAAATATACATTGGCTTTTCACTTTTATTTTTTAGGCTGTACGTGTTACAAAACCTAAAATCCCAGAAGCCATAAGAAGAAATTTTGAGTTAATGTGAGTAACATGCATGGGATACCAGTGTTTTTCTTCAGGGCTGTCTGCACACGGGTATACCGACCTGGGGAAACGCGCAATGGTGCCCTCTGGGGTGCGGAACGTGCCTGCCTTCTGGACTTGGTCTACTAACATTCCTTTTTCCGACCATGCCTCCTCTCGGGCCTTACCTCTCTCCAGACTCTTAGTTTCTTCTTGATGTATAGGCACTTCAGGAGCAGTTTTAGTGGCTGAACATGCAGTTGGCAGTACAACTATTGCTGGAGCTATAGTTTGTGAATATTTCCTTGAAGTAAGCATTAACAGAGAGGACAGTCAGGGTTAAGCACTATGTATTCGGAGCCAGAGCCGATGTGGCTGCAGTTTGAATCCCAGCCCCAGCAGTTTGAAAAACACAACAGGCACATGTGTGTGCACGCTCAAAGTCCTTACAGGATGCGGGAATGGAGGAAAAAGGATTGTGGCGTGACCACTCCCCATTGGGGGTGCTTTCTCTCACAGGTGCACATGCTTCCTGGCAGTAAATACATATGCATATATTTATATTTGTAAAAATAGGAGGGAGGGCATTTTAGTTGTTAAAGAGAGTATCATTTGTTATTAAGTAGTTAGAATAGACAACATGGTGGTATAAAGTTTGGTTTTCTTGGGCCAGCTGGTGGCGTGGTGGTAAAGGCAGCTTGCTCCCACATGGCCAACTGCAGTATTTGTATCCTGGACCAAGCAACTTGAGAAACCGTCCAGGTGCATGTGCTTGTGTGCCCAAAATCCCAAGAGGAGAGTGGAGGGTTGTGGTTTGGCCATCCCCATAGGGATGATTTCTCATCTTACTTTTCTCTCTGTCCGTCTCTCTGGGAGAGTGCAAGCCCTATGGCAAGTTAAACATTTTTAAAAATAGGGACCAGCAAATGGCGCAGTGGTTACGTCACTGGACTCCCACATAGTCGACTGCAGTTTGAGTCCCTGGTGGCTTAAAACTTCATGCCAGGTAAACACATCGGGCACGTGTGCATGCGTGCCCAAAATCCCAAGAGGAGATGGAAGAGAAGGGATTGCAGCGTGGCCATCTCCCCTTGGGGGGGGAGTGATTTCTCGCTTTCTGTTTCTCCAGAGAGCACACGTGTCCTATAGCAAAAACTCTCTCTTTAAAAAAAAAACAAATTCATGCTGGGGGGTCGGCGGGGTAGGGGTGTGTGTGTGCCCAAATCCTGAGAATGGAAGAGAAGGGATTGTGTTGTACCCATCCCCCCAGTGGGGGGGGGTTGACTTCATGCTTTCTGTCTCTCTCTCCAGTGAGTACACATGCCCGATAGCAAAAATCTCTCTCAAAAAAGATTTTTTTTTTTTTTTTTTTGGAGAGATTTTCACTGTAGGGCGCGTGCGCTCGCCAGACAGAGAGAGACATAGAGACAGAAAGCGAGAAATCACCCCCCAGGGGGGATGGTCACGCCGCAATCCCTTCTCCTCCATTCTCCTCTCGGGATCTTGGGCACGCACGCACACGCACCCGGCGTGAGTTTTAAGCCACCGGGTCCGGGACACGAACCGCGGTCGACTACGTGGGAGTCCAGCGACATAGCCATTACGCTAACTGCTGGTTCCCGTCAAAAAAGATTTTTTTAATACTAATTTTTTTTAATTTTTTTTTTTTTGTATGTGATTGTGCATCTAAAATTAGACTTGGGGGAACCAGCAGTTAGCGTAATGGCTATGTCGCTGGACTCCCATGTAGTTGACTGCGGCTCGTGTCCGGGACCCGGTGGCTTAGAACTCATGTCGGGCGCGTGTGCGTGCGTGCCCAAGATCCCGAGAGGAGAATGGAGGAGAAGGGATTGCGGTGTGACCATCCCCCCTGGGGGGTGATTTCTCACTTTCTGTCTCTCTGTCTCTCTCTGTCTGTCTGGCGAGCGCACGCTCCCTATAGCGAAAACCTCTCAAAAAAAAAAAAATTAGACTTGGGTCATTATCAATCACCCTCTGGGAAGCCTTGTATGAGCTGACTCCTGGTAGTCTTTTTCCTTGATGTGTCCAGGTCTGACTGGAAATGAGGAGTTACTCGCTTGACTTGAAATTGGTTTCTGGGTGATTGAGAAGGGTCCCTTTTAGGGGGATACTTACTGTGTTTGAAATGGCAGTGTTATTTTCTTTACGACAGGTACTGAAAACAAGTCTTCAGGAATTATTTTTGAGTACCTTTACTCTGAGAGATGCACATACACACTCCCAGCAGGCCCTGCACACCACAGCCCGCCCTGGGCCCAGCCAGCCCGCCCGTGGGTGTGCACGGGCGGGAAGCGGCGCCCTTCCCTGGGAGTTCAGTTGCATTGCCATGTGCTGCTGCCCGGCCCCTGCCTTCAGAAAATGTGGCTGATAGGTTAAGCGGGAAAATAGGAGATACTGGAAAAGTAACTGTGAAAATCAGGAGTGTAACAGATGTATAAGTTCAGGGGCCCCAGGAGTAGCGATACTGCTTTGTGGGGTGATAGATTTCCTAGCCCTTTTTGTTCCCAAGTCTGTATTGTGGGTCTGGTCCGTTGAATGAAAACAGCGTTTCTTATGGTTTATTTTTTCCTTTCCTTTCTTCCTGAGGGGGTGTTTGTGCACGTGAGAGAGGAGCGCCCTCCACGAGGTGCCATCTCCTTCTTCCAGGCCTCTGGCCCAGCAGGTCAGGGCATGCACGTGTGCCCAGGGCGTTTCAGACCGACTGTGTCAGGGATTTGAACCGTGGTTCTCATGTGGGATCTGGCTTCCCTCTCTCTTTTTTATGTTTTTACCATAGGGGGCATGCGACAGAGTCGGCCCATGAAAAAAATACTTATGAAAGGCTCAGGATGTCTTTGGCTTCGGTGGTGATGGCAAAATGAATGTTGTATGTACTTTGCCTCAAAGAACTCATAGTATTCAGAGCCTCATTTCATGTCTTTGTTGGTAGAGGAACTTTGGGGGAGATGTTTCAGGGAAGCTATTGGAGTTACTTTTCAGATAATTCTGAATCTTTGTTAGTTTTATAGACTCTTGGAATTCCAGAACTAAAAACTGTCTTGAGATTATCCAGTCTAACTTTTTACTTGATAGTAATATTTGTTTTTTTTTTTTTTTTTTTAATTTGCTAGAGGGCACCTTCCCTTGCCACCTTGGCCAGAGAGAGACAGATGGAGGGTGGTAGTGAGAACGTGTCCCGCCACTACCCCACCGTGGGGAATGGCCACGCTCCAGTTTCTTCTCCATCTCTCCCTCCTTTCAGGATTTGGGCGTGCATGTACACTTACCTGGTGTGTTTTCCAAGCCCTTAGGATATGAAAGCACACATTTAGTCATATGGATCCAGTGCATTAACCGCCAGCCCATGGGCTGGTCCTAGTGTTGTTTTTGTTTATTTCTGTTTTTGTTTTGGCTACAGAGAGTGTGCACTCACTGGAGAGAGACAGAGAGGGAAAGTGAGAAAGCAGCCCTGGGGGAGTGGCTGTGCTGTAATCCCTTCTCTTCTATTTTCCTCTCAGGATTTGGGGCGCACACACACATGTACACACCCAGCATGTTTTTCAAGCCACTGGGTCCAGGACTTGAGCCACTCAGTCAGTTCTGTGGGACCCATCCACTTTAATCACCAGGCCACCATCTGGGCCCCTAGTGATCTTTTCTATACCATTCCTGCCACGTCACCCAGTTCGTAAATGCTTAGTGATAGGCCAGTCATTTCCATTGTTAGAAGCCCAAATTCCTTACGTTAAGCCACAACTCGCTGCGTGAGAACTGCCACCTAGTTATCTGTTCTGTGCAACAAATGGGCCTGCGCGGGCCTCCGCTGAGGACGGGCAGAGCCCCCTCCGCTCTGCTTTCCCAGCCTGGTGCCCAGTGGGCGGAGTCTGCCCTGAGGCTGGTGCTGCTTTCTCCTTAGCCCTTAGCCCAGGGTGCTGTGTAGGCTTGCAGGAGGCGAACAGCAGAGGAAGGGCTAGTCCTCCCTTCAGAGCACAGACCCGCACATGATACTGTCAGAAGACAGAACAGACCAAATTCAAATGTACTAAATTTTTTTTTGTCTCTGGGTGACTTTGCACCCAATCATTGAGTCTTTCAACCTCAGATTCATTATAAGTAAAATAAAGTAACGCCTCTCTTACCTGCCTTAGTGAATCAAAAGTTCTTGTCGGAAAGTGGTTCTCTGACTCATTGTAGGAGAAGAATTACTGGTTGTGACTACACATAAGAGGATTGTTTCTAATTTCCCTAACATTTGCTTCACAGGGAGGCTGAGAAGACAAAGCTTCTTATAGCGGCACAGAAGCAAAAGGTTGTGGAGAAAGAAGCTGAGACAGAGAGGAAGAAGGCTGTTATAGGTACTTGGCTTTCTCCCTGAAATGAACGTCTCTACATACATGTATGAGGATTCGGTGCTTGTCGGTCTCATGGCGGGTAGTGATGGGACCCAAGTAAACACGCGCTGTGGACAGCGCCCCGCTGGGAACGCCGCTGTGCAGGCAGAGGTCCCAGAGCCTTCCAGAGTAGGTCAGGCCGCTGCACAACGGGCCTGCAGAGCTTTGGCTCTCCGGCTGATGGTGGCTGCCACTGTCGTCTTTTTAAAAACAGGGCGAGTGGTTAGGGTGTGTGAGTAGCTGTCGTCTCTGTGGAGCAGGGTTTCTGTTACGCAGATTAAAAATAGGGAAGACTTTTGGCCAGAGCTCAGGATCTAGGCAGATAGCTGCCAGCTATGAGAGTACGCGGGACTGCTGACAGCTCGTTTTGTGTGACAGCGGCTTTCCTCCTGCTCCAGGGTATCGTGCCTCATCAGAAGCCCTCAGTTAACGCCAGATTCGAGGATGTGTTCTATTAAATATTTCAAATCTATAGGAATGTACACAGAACATTCTGAAGGCTTAAGATTTTGCCAGATTTCCTTCAGATTCTGTTCTCTTTGTTTTAAAGAGAGGGAGGGGCATAGGTATGATTGACAGGGTCTGTCTGTCTGTCTATGCCATGATTCCTGTGCCCCAGCCTTCCAGTGAGCTGGGACAAGCATGCACCTGTTTTAAATTGGACTGGGAACCAAACCTAGGCTTCCCATGGGGCCTTAGCTACCACGCAGTCACACCCTCCCACTTGTGCACCCAGCTGGGCCATGATCTTATTTTCTGTCTGTCTTTTTTTTTTTTTTCCCTTCTAATTGCTAGAGGGCATGTACGCTTGCCAGAGTGAGGGGGAACCATCCCCCCAAGGGGACATGGTCTCACTGCAGTCCCCCCTGCATTTCTCTATCCCATCGGGATTTAGGGTGTGCCCTCATATGCACCCCAGACATGTTTTGTTTTTGTTTTTGTTTTTGAGAGGTTTTTCACTATAGGGCGCGTGCGCTCGCCAGACAGACAGAGAGAGACATAGAGACAGAAAGCGAGAAATCACCCCCCAGGGGGGATGGTCACACCGCAGTCCCTTCTCCATTCTCCTCTCGGGATCTTGGGCACGCATGCACACGCGCCCAGCGTGAATTTTAAGCCACTGGGTCCGGGACATGAACCGCAGTCGACTATGTGGGAGTCCAGCAACATAGCCATTACGCTAACTGGTGGTTCCCAACCAGATATGTTTTTCAAGCTATTGGCGCTGGATTTCAAACAGTTCAGTTGACCATGTGGGATCCGGCTCAGTAACTTTTATTCTAAAGTTGATGTATATCCTTTTTGCCTGTTTTTTTTTTTTTTTTTTTTTAAATATATATTTTTTATTGCCATTGGGTGTGTGCACTCACCAGAGAAAGCACACACAAGAGAGAGACACAGATAAAATACCCCGTAGGTCATGGCCATGCTCAATACGTTTTCCTCCATTTCTCCATCCCTTCAGGATTTGGGACACACATGCTATACATCTGGTATGCTTTTTAAGCTGCCGGGCTGGGATTTGAACTACAATTAGCCATGTGGAATCTGACTTTTTATGTGAGGCACTTAACCATTGCACTACAGAGCTGACCCAATATTTTTATACTTTTAATACAAGCATGTAACGATAAACAGTTCACAGAATCGTCTTACCTACTTGAAACTACCAAAAAGGGAATTAGATTCTACCTGTATTTCACAACTTGCCTTTTTTTTTTTTTTTTTTTTAACTACCCATTGTTGTGTTGTTTTGTTCATTCATATACATGTAGATCTGGTTTGCTTTAACTACCGTATTCCATTCTATGAGCGGACCTTAGTCTGTTCTGATGAATTACCCATGTAGGATTAGGTAGCTCCTACATTTTCCTTATTGTAAACACTGCAGCAGTAATGTGTATTTTCTCTGTTTTTCTAAGCAAACATGCATCATGACTTTGTCAACAACCCAATATTTAGCAGTCTTGCTAAAAATACTGTTATTTCTAGTAGTCGCTTATATTTCCTGTGAGCAACCACATTGTCTTCAGATAACAGTAATTCTGTGTGTGTGTGTGTTTGTGTGTGTGTTTACAGTCTCACACCTTTTATGCTTACCTTTCTGCTTTAAGCTGTGACGTCCAGTAGTGTAGAAAAGAAAGATGGTGACAGACATTCTTGTCTTTTCCCTGACTGACTAGTCCCAGTAACTTATCATTTATCAGTTAATGAAGTTTCTCTTTGTTCTGTGTTTGCCAAGAGCTTTTATTGTGAATGGCTATTAAAACTGCTAGAATTTTTTTCTTCATATGTTGAGATGAGCATACCATTTTTTTAAAAGAATTATTTACTTAATTTTATTTGTTATAATTTATTTTTCATTTGACCAGAGAGAGACACAGAAAGGGAGAAAGTGAAAGTGAGAAAACAAGCCTTCAGGTCCAGGACTCAAACTGTGGTCGGCCATGTGGGAGTCCAGCACCTCAACCACCATACCACCTACCAGCCCAAGAATACCATTTTTTAAAAGCTGTTAATATGGTGAATTATATTAATGGATACTCTACTTCTCAGTTACCTTTGCATTTCTGGAATAAACACACTCTGTAATGATATAGAAGGTTCACCCCAAGATAGTTCTCTGTACTGTTTGCTGATAATTTCCTTAGAATTGCTTTCATTTTTATAAATGAAGTCAACTTATTTTCTTTTCTTAGTTCTTACTGTTGGTTTTTTGTTTTATTTTGTGTCATAGTAGCCTCAGAAGGAGTTGAAGAGCATGTCTTCCTTTTCTGTGTCCCAGAACATTTATGTAAGACAGGCGTCATCTTCTCGTTGTAGAGGCTGCTGGAACTAACTTTAAACACCATCTTGGCCTGTCAGTGTCTGGTTTCTTTGGTTGTTTGCTTGTTTTTTTGTGGTAACATTTAACCTGATTCATATTGAAGGTAGGTCTGCTCAGCAATTTGTTTCCTTTTTAAGTTAGTTTTGGTAATTACATTTTTATAGGAAGTTGTCGGTTTTATCTAACATTTCAAATTTAGGAGCATAAATTTGTAGAATTCTCTTATGATGTTTAAAACCTCTACAAAATTTGTATGCCCCCTTCTCATTCCTAATATTGTTTATTCTTTTTATTTTGCTGGATTGGTTTTACCACAGGTCTTTTTTGTTTTATTCTTCTTTTTTTTTTTTTTCCCCAGAGAACAGGCTATTTGTTTTCTTTTGCTGGCCGTTTTTAATTTCAATTACATTATTTACATTTATTTTTATTTCCTTCTTTTTACTTTTTTTGCATTTACTCATAGGTTCTTTTCTAACTTCTTGGGTTAGATACTTAATTCATTAAATTTTCAGTCTTTTCTAAGGTAAACATGCATGTTCTTATAAGTATTACTTGAACTACACTTTACAAATTGTGGAATGTACTGTGGTGTTCAATATTAATTATTTTTAAAACATTACGATTATGATGTCTTAGTCGTAAATTATTAAAGGATGTTTTTCTATTTCTTTTTTTTTTTTGGAGAGGTTTTTTTGCTATAGGGTGCGTGCGCTTGCCAGAAAGACAGAGAGAGATAGACAGAAAGCGAGAAATCACCCCCCAGGGAGGATGGCCACGCTGCAACCCCTTCTCCTCCATTCTCCTCTCGGGATCTTGGGCATGCACGCACATATGCCCAGTGTGAGTTTAAGCCGCCGGGTCTGGGACTCAAACCGCAGTCGACCACATGGGAGTCCAGTGACATAGCCATTACGCTAACTGCTGGTCCCTCTCTTTCTATTTCAGTGGGTTCTGAGGGCCTACCTTTTTATTATTGATTTCCTATGTTACTACTTTGTAATCAGAAAACAAGATCTGTTATATGGATTCTTTTTTTTTATAAGGGGGATTTTTGCTATAGGGTGCACGTGCTCATCAGAGAGACAGAAAGCAAGAAATCATTCTCCTGGGGGATGGCCATGCCACAATCCCTTCTCCTCCATTCTTCCCTCAGAATTTTGGGCACATGCACACATGCACCCAGTGTGAATTTTAAGCCGCCAAGTCTGGGACTTGAACCACAGTCAACTATGTGGGAGTCTAGTGACATAGCCATTATGCCATCTGCTGGTCCCAGTTGTAGGATTCTGTGGGATTCTTAAGTGTTTGTTGAAATTTGTTTTGTGGCTTCCTTATGCTTGATACTTTTTATAAATGTCTTAATATGCCCAGAATGATGGAACATAGAATCTCTATTTGTTGGATCCAGATTCCTCTGTATATTCATTAGATCAGGCTTATAAATTATGTTTTTCACATCTATACTCTTCTGATTTTTGTCTTCTTGAGCTATTAGTTACTGAAATACATGTTTTAAATCTCCCACTACGATCACGAATTTGTTGACTAGTAGTTTTTTCTTTATATGTTTTGGGGCTATATTATTAAGAGCATTCAGGTTTAGGATTGTTATATCTCCCTGGAGAATTGTTCCTGTTTTGTAAGAACCATCTGTGACCCTAAATATGTGTTTTTGCTTAAGACTGATTTTGTCCAATGATGATAACAGCTATTACCAGGTTTTTCTTGGTTAGTTGTTTTCTTGGTGTATCTTTTCCCATCCTTTTACTTTCAACCTTTCTATGTCGTTGTTTTAGGTGTGTCTCTTGTAAACAGCATGTAGCTGGATTTTGTTATCTTATCCAATGTGAGAATCTATCTTTTAACTGGTGAGTTTAGTCCTTTTATATTTATTGTGGCTCCTGCTGTATTTGGATTTGTTTGTATTATTTAACTATGTGCTATTTACCATGCATTTTTTTCTCTGCTTCTTTTTCCCTTCTTTTTGATTGGTGCTGAATCGATTAAATTTTCTTTATTCTTACCTTCCTTGTAGTTGATTGGAAGTTTCACATTCTGTTTCTGGAAAGTATAACTAGTCTTTACCTATAAAATGTTAACAAGTATACCTGACTTGACAAAGTCCAAAGTTAATCATTCTCTCTGTTCTCTTCTCGAACAAAATTCTCATCACTGTCTTCTACCTCTGATCTTACATATTCTTGTTGCCAAGTGTTTAGTTTCATGTTTCTAGTTTTGCATTGATTGTCATCATTGGCATTGATTCTTACAGGAAACATTTATTTTGATTTACATTTGTTGAGTAGTTTTTCCACTCCATTGCTGGCAATTCATTCATTTTCTCTGTTAGTTGTTTTTTGTTCAGTAAAGGCTAAGGAGTAGAACACTTCTTCAGTCTTTCTTGGTGTGAAAATGCTTTCATTTCATTTTTGAATGATAATTTAGCCTACAAAATTTTTTTTATTACTATTTTTTCCAATTTGACCAGAGAGAGAGAGAGAGAGAGAGAAGAGAAGAGAAGAGAGGGAAAGTGAGAAAGCAAGCTACCAGGCCCAGGACTTGAACTGGGGTCAGCTATGTGGGAGTCCAGCACTTTAACCACCATGCCACCTGCTGGCCCCTAGCCTAAAATTCTAAACCAGACTAAGCTTATTTTCTCGCATTGCTGTGGCAATATTTCACTTTTGTTTGGTTTCCTGTACCTCTTTATAAGTATGTTGTCAGTGAAATTGCTCCTTTTGAGTAATTTCTTTTTTTGCTTAAGAGTTTTCTCTCCAAGCCCACCAACGGTGGCACATGAGTGGCACACACTGCTTGAGCAGGTGTTAGACACATGTGAGGCCCAGGTTCAGTACCCAGGTCAACTTGAACACATGAGGTACATTTGCAGGTGCCTGTGGTAGTTGGGAGGCTGGGGCAGGAAGATTGTGACATAGTGATACCCTGTCAGAAAGTTCCTATTTCTGGCTGTCTCTCTCTCTCGCTCACAAAGGAAGAGGACTTTTCTTTTTTCCTATGTATTTGGGTATTCTTCAGCTTGACTATGATCTGTATAGGTGGAGAAACGCTTATTTCTTGGGTAGGCCTTGTAGCTTTATGGTTAAGGGAGCTGGATCCCACATGGTCAACTGCAGCTTGAATCATAGCCCTGGTGGCTTGAAAAGCATGCTGGGCGTGTGCCCCGAATTCCAGGATGGGGAGATGGAAGAAAAGGGATTGCAACATGACCATTCTCCATTAGAGAGTGTTTTCTCTTCTCTCTCTGTGTCTTTCTCTGGTAAGCATATATGTCTTTTGATGATTTAAAAAACAAAAGAAAAGCTTACTTCTCATGGGCTGGAGGGTTGAGTATTTTAGTTCTTCTAGTAGAGTTGCAGCCCTCAGGAGGCCTCAGTTTTACAAAATAGGAGTTGTAGCAAGGCAAGGCCTCATCTGGCCCTGTGTGGGCTGTGATTCAGGTCCCTGTCCCTCTCTTCTTGTGTGATAATCACCCTGAGACACCACCATACAGGCTTTTGACTTGCCCTTTGTCACTTGAGTATCTCCTTTTTATTCTTATGGACTCGGTCTGCACTAAAAACTTGCTAATTTTATCTAGATTTTAAGGTGTCATTAGCTGAAGGATTTTCTTACCAGCGTATTTCACCATTGTTCTAGAACTGGAAGACTGGGAGTGCACTGTCCTGGTTTATCCCTACATGATGAGAAATATTCAGTGGGATTGCCACAACAGTCCCCATATGTTGAGACAGCATTCCCTGGTTCTGGCTCCAGGCTCCAGATCCCTTGCCTTTTATTTAAGTTTCAGCTTGAGTTTCTGCTTTAGCTAAATGTCTGGCACAGTTGAACATGGTGGTTTTATTTTCAGGAGATAGAATGCAGATTGAGTTTACTTCAGTGGGGAAATAAGGAAGTCTGCCAGGAAAGAGTTGATAAAGGATACTGTCTTCTGGAAAGAAGAAACCGCTTGGAAAATTTTTTTTTTCCATTATATGCTTCCCCAAGGGGCTACAGATAAGATATAGTAAAAGATTTACCTTCTTTGACTGAAAGGGAGAATTAAGAGTGTTCTTAAAAATTGTAGTGATTGAATTTCAAGTGTAATTTGAGTCTTCCCTGGTCCCCGATCCTTGCTTAGGAAGGATATGTCGTCCCGCCACGTGTTCTTGTAATGTTACAGCTGCTGTGTCCACTCCACTCCCTGCACTTATTTTCACACTCTGAGATGTATTATCACCTGCTTCCCTTTTCTTTTTTTTTTTTTTTTGAAGAGGTTTTTGCTATAGGGCACATGCGCTCGCCAGACAGAGAGACAGAAAGTGAGAAATCACCCTCCAGGGGGGATGGCCACGCCACAGTCCCTTCTCCTTTGTTCTTCTCTGGGGATCTTGGGCATGCACACACACATGCCCAGTGTGAGTTTTAAGCCACCGGGTCTGGGACACGAACCGCGGTTGATGACATGGGAGTCCAGAGACATAGCCATTACACTAACTGCTGGTCCCTCTCTTGCTTCCTTTTTATCTCCTGTAGTAGTCAGACTTCTTCCTCTGCTCATCATGTCATTTGCGTGGTGGTAACTTGACAGCAGATCCTGAATGTATTAGGTCTTTGGGAAAGTCATGACACGATTTTGCCTAGAAAAACATAGAAAAATACATCATGACTTTCCTGCCGTCCTAATACTAAAACTCGGCTCCTTAGCCTCTCGCTCAAGATGGAGGTCTTCCAGCCCTCCGTATTATTTCCTCCTCTCACTTGCTGGCTCCACACCACCTGTCCATTGTGAATTATTCGTTCAGACCTTCTCGTCTGGATGCCAGGTCCGTTCTTTAAGATTCCTTCCAGAAGGCCTTTCCTGGTTTAACTCGTTTCCCTGCCTCGTTCTTTCTCCTGCCACGTTCTGGAATTGCCTCGTGCTGTGTGCATTTGTGCTGCTCTGTGTTTGTTCTGTGGCATCTCACACAGTGGCTCGTTTTCCATTAGCTCGGGACCGCTGCTGTCAGTGCCGTGGAAGCCTGGAACTGTTAAGCTTTTATGCTCCCTCTGTCTACAAAATTAGCGCCGTCGAGATGGAACAGCGAGCTAGGAAATACATCCCCATGTTTTCTTTTGCGTTGTTTGCAGTCTGGATAGATAAGACTTAATGAAACAATTAGCCTATAAATCCTTGTGTAATTAAATCTGAGACTATATGCTGCTGGTTCTGAGTGCCTCTGGAACTTGAGAAATGTTATTCTTTTTTTGGAGAGGGTGTGTGCGCTTGCCAGAAAGAGAGAGACAGAAAGCAAGAAATCATCCTCCGGGGGGATGGCCACACCACAGTCTCTTCTCCATTCTCCTCTTGGGATCCTGGGCACGCACGCACACGCCCCCTGCATGAGTTTAAGCCACCGGGTCCAGGACTCGAACCGCGGTCAACTACATGGGAGTCCAGCGACATAGCCGTTATGCCATCTGCTGGTCCCAAGAAATGTTTTTGAATGTGTCTCCTTTTGTTGTGTAATTATAGAGGCAGAGAAGATTGCACAAGTAGCAAAAATTCGGTTTCAGCAGAAAGTGATGGAGAAAGAAACGGAAAAGCGGATTTCTGAAATTGAAGGTACATTGGGGAGACATGAGGTTCTGTCTGTCTTGAACTGCCTCTCTGCCTGAGGAGTCAGGCTCTAGATAGTGTACGTGTTGGGGGGGACTAGCTGGCCTGATATTCTATACAAACTTCTGAAAACTGCTGTAATTTATCGAGCGATGGTCTGGTTGGTGACTGTAGTGGTGCGGCCTTTCATTTCCTTCCTTAAATTGGAGCTTACTGCCTCTCACTTATTACCCACACTCAGTTGAAAAGAACATACCAGATAGTAAACTCCAGCATCACCAGTTTCTTTGCTACCTGTCAACAACAAAAACAAAAGGAACAAATTAGGTGGGGAGAAAAGAAGCCTGAGTTTTGTTGGAGGATCTCAAAACTCCTTGATGTCACACAGAGAGATGTTGACATTCTTAGCTCACACTTAAAGACACTTTGCTTGATAACGACTGCTTCCTGTCTTTCTGTGTTTCCTGATTCCAGATGACCTCAGGGGGAGGGGGACGGGCAGTGAGTAGAGCAGAACTTTCACACTGCACTTGGTGGCTTAACTTGAAGCCCAAGGCCTGGGTAAGGTGCGAGGCTTTGGGTAATGGAAGACGGGAGGAGGGGGAGAGGACAAAGAAGCACCTTAGAGTCGAAAACAAGGGGCCGCAGATGGACTGAGAGTTATTCAGCAAGGACAAGTGTTCCCCCTGGAGAAGGAGCTCTGGGGACTAAGATTTGAGAACTGCTATTGTTGCAATGAACTCCTAAAGTGAGGTAAGCAGTTGAAATATTATGCAGTGGAGAAAGCGGCTCTTCCCCAGTTGAGGGAATGGAAGAGCAGTTTTCCTTGGTTTTAAACACCCTGACTCTGTTTGACCTGCTAGATGCTGCGTTCCTGGCCCGAGAGAAGGCAAAGGCCGATGCGGAGTACTACGCTGCCCACAAATATGCCACCTCGAACAAGGTGACTGGCTCTTCTCCCCCTTCCCTGGTGACACAGTTCGGGGATTCACTTTGCCTTTTCAGGGGCTCTGCTATGACAGGTGATTTGATCCTAGCACGTCCCGCAGAGTCAGCCCGTCACTTAGCCAGGCATCGCGCATTCACCGGGCGGGGAGCCTTCTATAGTTCCTAGAGAAGCAGAGCTGGGACAGAGGCCGAGATGCCGCACACTCCCCACATGCACTGCCGTTGGCAGCCAGTCACAGCAAGGGGGGTGTCTGAGATGGCCAGGATGACAAGAGAAAAGTCCATTTAGAATTGTTTTCCAGATAAGGTGGCCTTTGGGGTAGATGCTGAGCATGTTTAGACAAGTGTTTCTTATCAGAGACAACCTTGGCATTTGGGGATGAGATGCCCTTTCATTGTTGAAGACTATCTCGTGCGTTATGAGAGATTTTCCATCCCTGGCCCTTGTCTACTAAATGCCAGTAGCATTCACCGGTCGTTTTCGCACAAAGGCCTGCACGCACGTGTGTACGCACACACACAAATTTCAAATCCCCCAATCAAATACTTCTTGTTTAGTTGTGAGGAATCTCAGTGTGGTAACTTGAGGAGGAAAGGTGTGTGATGGAGAGCGAGCAGTTTTTGCATAAGGACTGCAGTAAGTAGCTAGACAGTACAGGCCTACTGAGCAAGAGTCATTGAACTAAGAGGCAGCGAGAACCAGTCTGGAGTCCTGAGGAGGGAAGGCTGCGTCCAAGATTTACAGGGTTATGGATTACGCAGTGGACTGGAGCAGGTAAAGGGCTGAGATAGAGATTGCTAAGGAGTGGTACGCAGTTTGAAGGGTTAGAATCAAAATATATGAGCTTAGGGAACCAGCAGTTAGCGTAATGGCTATGTCGCTGAACTCCCACGTAGTCGACTGCGGTTCGTGTCCCGGACCCGGTGGCTTAAAACTCACGCCGGGCGCGTGTGCGTGCGTGCCCAAGATCCTGAGAGGAGAATGGAGGAGAAGGGATTGCGGCGTGACCATCCCCCCTGCGGGGTGATTTCTCGCTTTCTGGCTCTCTGTCTCTGTCTGTCTGGCAAGCGCACACGCCCTATAGTGAAAACCTCTCGAAAAAAAAAATATATATATATGAGCTTAAGCTTTCAATATAGAAGAGAACATAATCTGCATTTAGGAATGAGACGTGCGGCTGACAGAATGAGAGTCGTCAGTACTTTGCACACCAGGATACATTTAGAAATAAGCGTAACCTTGGGGACACAGCTTTACAGAAACCAAATGGAATTTGGTCAAGATGAATGCAAGAAAGGAAACTTCAGATTACAAAACTAGCAGTCCAGGTCTGCCGTGGGAGACACCGGGCAGGCGCAAGGATCAAGACGTTGCCCTGAGGTCAGCCTTATTCTGAAAGGGGCAGTCGTTTTATGCTGTTTTGAAAAATGCTGCTCAGATACTAACCTTTTTGAATTTGCCAGACAGCATGTGTGTTTGCTAGAGAGACAGAGAAACGAGAATGCACCCCCAAGGGAAATGGCCACGCCTCAGTCCCCTCTCCTTCACCTCTCCCTCCTTTCAGGACTTTGGGCACGTGCGCACGTGTGGCCATGAGCTCTAAGACTCAGACTGTGGGGTGGGCCACGTGGAATCCTGGCCCACCAACCTTTATTAAGAAGCCTTAGAGAGTAATTGGCTGTACGCACTGACTAGGTTCGACTGCAGGGCTTTGACCCGGGATAGGCTTCAGATGGAGAGTGGAAGACATTGAAGTACAGAAAGCAGCTGCTGTGGGAGTTGATGGACAAGTTGGGCTTTTGCCTGGAGGACAGGCTGGGGCTTGAGCTGAGGAGGGGATCTCTGAGGGGCTCTGGGAGGCTGGGGGAACAGCATTACTCAGATGAGCGCCACTGTTCTCTGTTGACCAGTGTCTCAGAGAATCAGCAGAAATTCCATGTGGAATTCAGCTAGCAAATGAGAAGTATATACGAAGTACTTTATAGACCGAAGCCACTATGGAGGTATTAGTTATTACCGTTAGATCCTTACTTATTCGTTGTTCGCCCCAAGCCGCCTCCTCAATTGTTTTATTAAAAAGTGAACAGCATCTCCTGCATTAAGACAAAAGCTTGTCGAAGGAATTTTAAGTCAGGAAGCTCGCCATGAATGCAATCGGCATGCTCCGCAGTGACAGAGGGCCACGGGCAGCCAGCTGTCTGGAGCGGAGTCACGGAGTCAAGATGCTCGAGAGCAGCAGGAGAGCTGGGCGGAGGGAAAGCTGGGGTGGCTGTCGCACCCAGGGTCCTGACGTCTGCTCTCGTTTGCCCCCACACAGCACAAATTGACCCCGGAGTATCTGGAGCTCAAAAAGTACCAGGCCATTGCTTCTAACAGTAAGATCTACTTTGGCAACAACATCCCTAGCATGTTCATGGACTCCTCTTGTGGTTTGAAATATTCAGATGTTAGGACTGGAGGAGAAAGCTCCCTCCCCTCTAAGGAGGCTCTTGAAACCTCTGGGGAGAGCCCCATCCAAAACAAGGAGAGCACAGGTTGATGCAAGAGGTAGAAACGTTCTCCCGTATCAAGAGGTGGCCCAAGGGGTTCAGTAGGAACAATGGTTATACGGACTCTTCAGACTTCCAGAACTCCCGCTCCGTCCGCTCTGCCTCTCCCACGGTGTCCTGGTTTGTCAGCCGCTGACTGCAGGGTAGAGCCAGCCGTCTGGCACTCAGATGGTCCTTCCAGCCGCAGTTTATCAAGTACCCTGTGCGTGCTCCTCTCTGAACTAGCCTCGTGAGCGAGGGGAAGGGTGATGCTGAGATGCTGCCTGCCCCGGAGCGTTCACACTAAGTATGTAACGAGCTGTACGTCTCTAAGCCGCGATCTGCCGAATAATGTTTACATTGGTCCCTGGGGAAATGAGCGCTCAGCCATGCAAGGGATGGGAGGCCAGAGAGAACACGGCCAGGAAATGGTAAGTTAAGAAGACCGACTGCGCCTGGGCCCCAGGCTGCCTCTTTGGGGTCCAGTCCCAGAGTCTGTCCATGCGATTCACATCCAGGCCGCTGAGTTCCCAGGAAATGATCTTCCACTTGAGCAACAATTTACTTGACACGTGATTTGCACCTTTCTGTTTTCCTACAGTCAAGTTGGTGGCCTACAGGGACATGCACTTTGCCACCCAGCCAGAGATTTCTCAGAGGTTCCTAATCACTATTTTATTGCATTAGTAGCTCAGAGATAAAAAGAGCTTTGCTCTAAGTTAGGAGTGAGATGAAACCTTTGCTCTGAACCAAAGCCCTGGGGCCCTGTATTCCCTCCATGGGAAAGGACTGTCATGTCACTGCCCCAGGCCACGTGCAACTGATGTACTTCATTTTTTAGCCACAGACAGCTCCTTACATGTCACCTCTCATCTCCGGCTGGCCAAGAGCAGGACAGGCCTTTAGCCAGAAATCGGAGCAGCGTACCCTTCCTAGCCGTTCACTGCACAGTATTGAATCATAATTACAGAAAGGTTTTATTTTTAAAACTGGATTTGGGGTGCATTCATTTGCCCCAGCACTTCTGTCTAAAAGCCAGGTCTTTCAGCTGCCATGGTTACCAGCACACTGATTCTCCTTAACACTGTGTGGAACAAAGAGTAACCTGGAAAGCATCCTCGGTCATCTTCTGTCTTCTTTCTGGCTCTGGGATGCTGAAAACAGAGCTGTTTCTCCAACTGTCCCTTCCCCCGGGAGATTGGGATGCTCGCCCTCCCGGGCAGCCGGTGACTGTGATCTTCCATGAGAGGATGACAGTTCACCTGTGGCTGCAGGAGACCTGCTTCATACGAACCTTCTTTTTCCTTCAGATTAACTTTCCTGGAATGGTGTATCACGTAGGTAGGCCTGAGTTCCTGTTTGCTAAGACCCCTCTTGGGTACACTGTGTTGCAGCCAGACAGAAAAATCATGGGACCACTTCCGGAAACCCTTCAGCTGTCAGTCCTGTCGTCTCCTGACAGCCTGTGGGTTGTGCCAAACACTACTCGGGAAAGGGAGACCCGGCTTCGAGGGGTCTGTTCCCTGGGCCTTACACTGTAGACACATTCGTAACTTGGAGGGAATCATTTTTTGGTTTTTTGCTCTTTTAAATCAGTAATTCTCTTTATGAATGAATCTTGCGTTCTTTAACCCTCCTAAAGAGAACTTTTGAATTATAGAAATAAACTCTTAACCTGTCATATTGTTGCTGCAGATAAATAATGATTGTCATGGGAAATCTGGATCATTGACCTCATGCTTTCATTCCTGGGGATGTTTTTATTCCCATGAGCGTAAGGATGGTGGTGGGTTTCCTACCAGCCCCAGCCCTGGTGGCAGGGCTGAGGAAGTGACGTGGGGTGACATCGTAAACAGCACTTCCACGTCAGCTCCCCTTGGAGTTCCGCGTGCTTCCCTGCGCCCCCTCGGTGAGCTCTCGGTCCAGCCATCCTTCAGGGGTGTTCCTTTTGGTAAATAGACACTGTAATCTTGAAGTCTAAATTTATATGTGAATTGCTACCTTTTTTAAATAAGAAACTAAATAAAATTATTTTACTATCAGCGATCTGTGTGTGCCCACGTGCCTCCATGTCTTTTCTCGTCCTTCTGTGTCCCTAAGGCCGTCTCACCCATTTCAGCATGTGCCAGAGAGCACGTGCACTCACCAGAGGGAGAGAGAGAGAAACAGGAAGCACTCCAAGTGAAGATGGTCACACCGCAGTCCCTTCTCTGTTTCCCCTCCCATCAGGATTTGGGGTGCACAGCACCCCGTGTGTCTGTCAAGCTGCCTGGCCAGGACCTGAACTGTGGTCAGTTATGTGGGCCCTGCCCCCCTACCCACTGTGCAATGCTTAGTCACTGGTATGATCTTTTTTTTGGGGGGGGGGGATGTTTTCGCTACAGTGCACGTGCACTCGCCAGACAGACAGACATAGAGACAGAAAGCGAGAAATCGCCCCCCCCCAGGGGGGATGGTCACGCTGCAGTCCCTTCTCCTCCATTCTTCTCTCGGGATCTTGGGCACGCACGCACACGCGCCCGGCGTGAGTTTTAAGCCACCGGGTCTGGGACGCGAACCGTGGTCGGCTACATGGGAGTCCAGCGACATAGCCATTACGCTAACTGCTGGTTCTCACTGGTATGAGCATTTTAAAAACAGTGCTTCCACTCTTTTCTGACTTCTGGAATTTAGCAAGAGATGTCCCTTTAAAAAATTTTTTTTCTTGGGACTAGCAGTTAGCGTAATGGCTATGTCACTGGACTCCATTGTAGTTGCTCAGGGTTCGAGTCCCAGACCCAGTGGCATAAGCTCATGCTGGGCATGTATGCGTGTGTGCCCAAGATCCCGAGAGAATGGAGGGGAAGGGATTGTGGCGTGGCCATCCCCCTGGGGGTGATTTCTCACTTTCTGTCTCTGTCTTTCTGGCGAGTGCACGTGCCCTATAGCAAAAGCCTCTCCAAAAGAAAGAAAAAAAATGTTTTTCTTTATTCATAATATAGTGAGTGCATGTGATAAAGAGGGGTGAGCACCCCTCACAGGGTCTGCCCGTGCTGTGACCCCCTCCCTCCAGTCCCCAGCCCATTAGCTCCTAGGCATTTTTGGTGCCCAGCATGTGCCCAGGCTGGTCAGCCCAGGCTGACCTACAGTCACCTTGCAGGACCCTGCTGAGCAGGGCTTCACTGCTGAGCCCCAGAGACAGCCACCGAAAATGGCAGGTGGAGCTTCACACCCCTTGGAGCCTCCCTTCCCTGAGAGCTGAGGTCCATTCCCCTTAGGAAGTTGTGTATACCTAGACAGGGAGGACAGTAGCACACATTGTAACTGACTTCACTGACTCGGATTTATTGGTCTGAGAACCAGGGGTGGACCTGCTCTTCCCAAGTGCTCCACGCCCACCTGGGGACAGTGTGCTGGTGACCCTGGGCCGGCAGGGAGTTGGGATGTAGAGTTGCGCAGGTTACCCCAGAGTCCAACCCCACTGCACAACAGGGAGCTGTGACTGACTTTTAGGGTTTTGGTAGGTATTTAAAATGAGGTGGGGACCAGCAGATGGCAGAATGGGGACGTCACTGGACTCTCACCAGGTCACACACGGTTTAAGTCCCAGATCCAGCAACTTAAATCTCAAGCAGGGCATGGGTGTGTGTGTGCCCAAGGTCCTGAGAGGAGAACGGAGGAGAAGAGATTGCAGTGTGGCCATCCCTCTGGGGGGTGATTTCTCGCTGTCTGCTGAGCGCACGTGCCCTGTAACAGAAATCCATAAATGAATGAATGAACGAATGAATGAGGTGATTTCTGTCCCTGAGTGGGAGGAATGCTGCGAACTCACAGGCTTTCCATGCTCTGACTGCTGCCGGCCTCTCCACCCCCTCCCCTACAGTTCTTGAATGTGCCTTCTTCCTGCACCTTGCCATGTCCTTCCCCCCGCTCTCCTCACTCTCCCTGTCTCGTAGTGCCAGCTTTCCTGTGCTGGCTCCTAATCTGTCCCATCAGTTCTTCGGAGAGGTCACCCTGCACCAGCCCCAGCACTTCATACCTCTCTGCCTGACGTTTTTTTTCACAAACGCTGAGCTCTGAGGGCAGGGACTGCGTGCTGGTCGCTGGGGGCCGTTGCGATGGCGCATGCCTACCAAGGTGCCCAGCCCAGAGGAGTTGGGTCTTGTTGCTGGAAAGAATGAGAGGATGAGTGAAGTGCAGACGGAGGAGAAGAGATTGCAGTGTGGCCATCCCTCTGGGGGGTGATTTCTCGCTGTCTGCTGAGCGCACGTGCCCTGTAACAGAAATCCATAAATGAATGAATGAACGAATGAATGAGGTGATTTCTGTCCCTGAGTGGGAGGAATGCTGCGAACTCACAGGCTTTCCATGCTCTGACTGCTGCCGGCCTCTCCACCCCCTCCCCTACAGTTCTTGAATGTGCCTTCTTCCTGCACCTTGCCATGTCCTTCCCCCCGCTCTCCTCACTCTCCCTGTCTCGTAGTGCCAGCTTTCCTGTGCTGGCTCCTAATCTGTCCCATCAGTTCTTCGGAGAGGTCACCCTGCACCAGCCCCAGCACTTCATACCTCTCTGCCTGACGTTTTTTTTCACAAACGCTGAGCTCTGAGGGCAGGGACTGCGTGCTGGTCGCTGGGGGCCGTTGCGATGGCGCATGCCTACCAAGGTGCCCAGCCCAGAGGAGTTGGGTCTTGTTGCTGGAAAGAATGAGAGGATGAGTGAAGTGCAGCGAGTGCAAGCATATCAGTAGCGGAAGGAAGACCTCGCGATCAGCCCGGAGTGGCCTGTAACCCTGGGAGCTTGCTGCCATCTGGAGCCCGTTCACAGTCCTTGCTGGGAGTGTCTTCACTGGGTCCGACAGCGTGTGCAGGAGTGCACCGCTGACCCCTGGCCTGCACGTGTCAGTGCTGTCTCTGAGTAGGCCGTGCGTCCCTGGAGTGGAGAGCACGGGGCACCTGATACAGACTCGGGCAGTAAAATGCTCACGGGTCCTTCAGCCACTGTGAGCTCAACCACAGCCCTCCAGGAGTAGCCTAGCAAGCTGGGCCCACCTCTCAGCTTTCGAGTGGTCTCTGGCTTTGTTTGGGCGTTTGGGACTAATTTCCTGTTGCTGCATAAGTCCTCTGTCCATGGCTGCGTCGGCGTCGGCCAGAATCAGGATGGCGTCCCCTCATTGCCTTTTTCGCGTGCCTTTGCATTGTAGCTCTCTTCCCATCGTTTTTAATCAAATGTTCTGCTATCTAATTTCTATTTTTTAATCTTCAAACATGTTTCTTTCTGGCCAGCCAGTGGCCTGATGGTTAAGGCTGCTGGATCCCACGTGACCAACTGCTTTGTTTGGGTCCTGGCCCCAGTGATTTGGGAAACACTCTGGGCACATGTGCATGCGTCCCCAAAATCCCGAGAAGAGAATGGAGGAAAAGGGATTGTGGCATGGCCATCCTCCACGGGGTTTGCTTTCTCATTTTCTCGCTGCCAAGTACATGCACCCTTTTACAAATTTGTTAAAAATTTTAAAAATTCCATGAAAGACTTTCTTTCCTTAAATATTTAGGAGGCATCTACTACATGCTAGATACTAAGGCAACACAGAGGCACGTAGCATTGTACGGGTGCAGTCAGGTACAGCAAGGGATGATGTGAGTGTGACCCTGGTAACTGAGCGGATGCTGCACTAGGGGGCGCCGAGAGGATCAGCCCAGCCTGCTGGTTTCTTGGAAGCAGTGTCTGATGAGAGTCTTTTTTTTTTTTTTTTTTTTTTTTTAATTTAGAGCGTAGGCACAGAGAGAGCCAAAGAAGATGTGAAAATCACCCCCTGGGGGATGGCCAAGGTGCAGTCCTTTCTCCATTCTCCTCTCAGGATTTTGAGCTCACATGTCCACATGCCGGAAATGAGTTTTAAGCCACTGGGTCCGGGCTCAAACTGCAGTTGACTACGTGGGATTCCAGTGACGTAATCATTATGTCATCTGGTCCCATGAGTCAGATTTTTTTTTTTGGAGAGGATTTTGCTGTAGGGCTTGTGCGCTCGCCAGACAGAGACAGAGAGACAGAAAGTGAGAAATCACCCCCCGGGGGGATGGCCACGCCACAATCCTTTCTCCTCCATTCTCCTCTCGGGATCTTGGGCACACACGCATATGTGCCCGGTGTAAGTTTAAGCCACCGGGTTCGGGACGTGAACACAGCCATTATGCTAACTGCTGGTCCCCCATGAGCCAGATTTTTAAGGAAGAGCCGGAGGTGGCCAGCCAGCTAGGAAGGCAGTGGCGATGGTGTAACATGTCCTGGGCAGCAGGAGAACCATGTGCTGTGTTGCATTTTAAGATACGTTTGACCAGGTCCTGCAGCCTCAGCAGTGCTGGGAGGGGCGAGAGGTCACCCACTGCAAACCCTTACGTAACAGGCCCTTGCTCTGTGTACTGGGCATGGCCCACATCCGTATCTGCAGGCGTTTTCTTCCTGAACCCTCATGGCAGTTCTGTGGAGCTCTCCTGTCCCTGCCATCTCATAATTGAGATGTAGAGGCTTTACCCAAGAGCATATGAGTAACCAGTGGCCAAGCAAGGATTTGAACTAGTCATGTGTCAGAGCCAGGTTCTTCTTTTTTAAAGAATTATGTTTTTTAAATTTAATTTTTTTACTTTTAAAAATGTTTACTAAAGAACATGTGTACTCACCACGGAGAGAGAAGGTGAGAAAGCAAGCCACGAGGTCTGGAACTCGAACTGTGGTTGGCCATGTGGGAGTCTAACACCTTAACCACCATGCCACCTGCAGGCTCCCAGGTCCAGGTTCCTTTACGTTCTCCCTTGAAGCAATTGTTTAGGGTGATGAAAGCTCTAGGGTTTGGGGCGATGTCAGGATGTGTGGGCTGCAGGAGAGATCAGGAAAAGGGAGACATAGAGGCTGACGTGTGATGTGACGCGGTGGCCATGGGTTACCTTCTCTGTCCTCTGCTGGGCTTGGAAGAAGTGCTCTAGGGCTGGGTAGTATGTCAGCTGATTTGGGGACGATCGGCCCCGTGGAGCCTGAAGGAGCAGCCCCCTTATTACCTGAAGCAGGTGGAGCTGATGAGCATTAGCGTGGGCTCTGGAACTCGAACTGTGGTTGGCCATGTGGGAGTCTAACACCTTAACCACCATGCCACCTGCAGGCTCCCAGGTCCAGGTTCCTTTACGTTCTCCCTTGAAGCAATTGTTTAGGGTGATGAAAGCTCTAGGGTTTGGGGCGATGTCAGGATGTGTGGGCTGCAGGAGAGATCAGGAAAAGGGAGACATAGAGGCTGACGTGTGATGTGACGCGGTGGCCATGGGTTACCTTCTCTGTCCTCTGCTGGGCTTGGAAGAAGTGCTCTAGGGCTGGGTAGTATGTCAGCTGATTTGGGGACGATCGGCCCCGTGGAGCCTGAAGGAGCAGCCCCCTTATTACCTGAAGCAGGTGGAGCTGATGAGCATTAGCGTGGGCTGTGGCTGCCGTGGCATGCCGCCCAGGGCCCTGTTCTCGGGGTGAAGCACTCCTTCCCCCAGGTCTGTGCTGAATCGCTGCAGCAGCTTTTCTTGACTGACAAACTCCCTCACCCTCAGTCACATCCCCTCCCAGGGGACATCCCACCTCTAAGTGGTTGATGCAGTAGAAAGGCCAGGAGAATTACTCAAACCACACAGTTTGTCCAGGAAAAAAAATTGCAGTGATTTTTTTTTTTCCATCTGCAAGTTTCTCCATTCTCCTCTTGGGATTTCAAGCGTGCATGCATGCACACTTGGCATGAGTTTTAAGGTGCTGGGTCCAGGATTCGAACTGCAGTCAACTATGTGGGAGTTCAGTGATATAACTATTACACCATCTGCTGGTCTCATTGATTCACATCTTTCTATCTATCTTTCTTTCTTTCTTTTCTTTTTTGGAGAGGTTTTTGCTATAGGGTACGTGTGCTTGCCAGAGACAGAAAGACAGAAAGCGAGAAGTCCCCCCCCCGGGGGTGATGGCCACGCCGCAATCCCTTCTCCTCCATTCTCCTCTCGGGATCTTGGGCACACATACACATGCACCCGGCGCGAGTTTAAGCCCCCGGGTCCAGGACTAAGCCGCGGTCGACTGCATGGGAGTCCAGCGACATGGCCATCACGCTCACTGCTGTCCCCCATTGATTTGCATCTTAATAGGTATGGTAATCATAACTGAAACTTGGGCACGTTGGGAAAGTCCTGCTGCTGGGTGTGCCTGATTCCTCTGGTGACCAAGTGCCGTTCTGCTCAGCCTCACCGTTCGTTACAGCTGTGGCTGTGGCTGACACGTCCATATTGGCATCCGCTCACTTTTCTCTGCGTCTCACGTCACACATGCACTTCACCTTTGTTCCTCACCTCGGGGATCTTCCAGTGCCATCGAAGCCACAGTCGGTCCAACATACGGTCAACCCAGACAGGCCCAAGAACTAATACACCCAGAACCAATTCTCAACCAGTAAGAGACAGGAACACCAAGGGTTAGAGAGGAGGTGAGCCCAGCAACTTCCCAAGGAAGACAGCATCCCTCCTCACACAGCGGGAAACTTGAAACCTTAATTTGAACATGAACTTCAAATTAAATACAATTCATCGAATGTGTGTTGAATACCTGGTGTGTGTTTAAGAAACCTAAAATGTGGAAAATAGTGGGCCGGTAGAACAACACAACACTGAGTAAGATGTCGCATCCGCTCTCAGAATCATCTCGGAAAGGTGGAAGTGTGATAGCACACTAGGGGAGGAATGCAGTGCCCTAGCACTGGCATGGTGGGTACGATGCTGGACTCACACATGGCCAACCATGGGTTGAGTCCTGGACCTGGCAACTTGCTTTCTCACTTTCTCTGTCTCTGTCCTTGTCTCTGGTGAACATATATGCCCTATAGCAAGTAAAGAAAATAATTTTTTTCTTTTAAATAAAAGACTAGCCAGTTAAAAATCTGAGCATAACATAAAAAGACAACCCAATTTAAAAGTGGACTAAGGATCTCGGTAGACGTTTGTCCGGGGAGGATATACAGATGGCCAATAGGCACAAGTAGTTGACTATCAGCAGTCATTGGGGAAGTATGTCAAGGCACCACATCACGCCCACAACAGGGACTGGGTACGCGTCGGTAAGCACGTGAACTTGGGCTCCTCACTCATTGCTGGTAGGAATGGAGAGTGAGGGAGTCCCTTGGGAATGTATTTTGACAGTCTCTCAAAATGTTAGACAGTCACCGCATGAGCCAGGGCTTGCATGTTCAGACAGCCTTGGATGTGAGTGTTCACAGCAGCGTCAGTCATAGCAGACAATGTCTAGTAACTGGAGAACGGATAATAAAGTGTGGCATGTGCATTCCACGGGACCATTACTGAGCCACTAAAAATAATGAGATATGGACCGCCCAGTGGTGTGGTGGTGAAGGCAGCTCTGTCCCCTGTGGCAGATAGCATGTTCTAGTCCTGGACCCAGTGGCTTCTTGAAAAACATGCTGGCATGTGTACATGCATGCCCAAAATCCTGAGAGGAGAATGGAAGGGAAGGGATTGTGGCATAGCATCGCCCTGGGAGGGGGTGATTTCTCACTTTTCCTCTCTCTCTATCTCTGGTGAGTACACGTACCCTATACCAAACTTAGAAGACAAAAAAAAAAAAAAAAAAGAAATGGTGACACATACTAAAACATGGCTGAAACTTGAAG